ACGATCGAGCATATTTAGCCAGGAACACGGCATTCCCGAGTTAACGTCCGCAGCACCAATAGCTCTCTCTCTCTCTCTTTCTCTGCGACCCCGCGCTCTCTGTCCATCGCATCGTGATCGTCGTTACGTTACAAAGGTGTCACGCTCGACGACGTACTAACGCTATCTCCCATATTTATCTAAACTTTATGGCTCGTGACTAAGCATCAGGATGGAACTTCGGCATCCTGTAGGTTCGATCGAATCCGCCGCGCTAGAAAAAAGGCCGGAGCCGCGGCGGCGGCGGCGGTTCGACGCAGAGGGCCGTAATATAATTCACCTTCATTCTGGAGATATTTCCGGGTGTGACCGCGGCCACGCCGCAGGCATTTTTCTCCCATCCGCGAGGGGAAAGAATTTTACGTCTCGCGATAGGCGGGAATGAGCAGCGACGACGAGCAACGTGTCGCCGCGTCACGTGCACACCGGTAGAAATGTCATTCACGCGGGCCCCGGACGCGAAATTATCGCCGTTGCACAGTCAGAGGTGCACGCGGGATTCTCCCCGGTGTGTCAATTGCGACCCGGCAGTCGGTCGTGACGCGCGGCCGCCGTTTCGCCCACCCAGCACGCGGTCGCGCTTTCAGACGCCGCAGCGGGGACGGGTTGTCGTGATACCACCGAATAGTGGACGCCGGTTCTACCCGGTCCGGGATGACAATGGTGCTAATGCGCGAGAAGCTCTCCCGACAGTAGCGTAATTGATAGCCGCCGATCTGCTTATTGTGAGTTCGTGAATTCGCAAACGGCCGTTTCTCTCATTCTCTCTCCCTCTCTGACCATCGTGCCAATAGCGCGCGCGTTAATTAGCGCCTTAACGTACTTAAACACGATTCCCCGTGTTTCTTGAAGCTCTCTCTTTCTCTCTCGTTTCATCAGTCCGCGCTTTCAAACGCTAATTTGGGAATCGTTTGAATTTCAAATGTCGATGGAACACACACGTTGGTCAGTCGTAAAACCATTGAATTTGTCAATCCGTAGCGTAGAAACGGAGAAATTAGGCTCGGCCGTTCGACAAGTGTGTTATCGAATTACCGAGTCGTACGAGTCGTCGTTTGACTGCACACGCGCGGCAATTAAAATCGTCTCCGACGTCTACGTTCCATCGCGTGTCACCGTGACATCGGCTTCCGGGCCAGTCGAGGGGCCCGCCTTTCCAATGCCATTACGAGAGGAAACGCGTCCGTCGGCGCCGCGGCAACGGGACCTCGGGTACGAGCGCGAAAATTCTATCTTGCGGCGCCCTTTCATTAGCTCTCCCGATGTGTGGGACGTGTAATTTAGACGAGGCGTTAACTGTCAAGCGCGCTAACGGCGATCGTTGTCGACACGGTCACTTCAGGGCCGCTCTTATCGATCTCGTTCCTGCCGTTACCGGCGAATCGCGTCGTAAAGGGACGAAGAGAGAAAGAGAGAGAGAGAGAGAGCAGCGTATACACGCTACGCCTATATTTATCATACGTCAGCGGCCGCGCGCGGTTTACATCGCGCGCTGATGAACCCGACGCCGAGAGCGAGGCGAGCGTGGGCGTCGCGATCGTGAGCTGTCGCGCGACCTTACCTCGGCGAAATCGAAGTGATTTACTTATCAAGGATGATCACCGCTTCCGAGCCACGACTATGCCGATATCTAACTGTTCTGCATCGTTGCACCTCGCGGACGACGTGTCATTATGGTTACGCGGAAACCGGACGGCTTGGGATGGATTCGACGGGGAACGCGCGCGGATGGTTCGACGATATTGTCTTCTTATCTGTTATCGCACGGTTAAATGGAAAATGCGCGCTTTTAGTAACCGAGGCCGGAAGAGTATACGAGCGAAACATGCATTAACGATGACCGGTTAAAGGTCATTATTGTGCGATTTATCTTTCCGGCTGAAAAAGCGTCTCTCTGCGTCCGTAGACGAACATATCCGTTGAATGTTAAACCACGTGACCGCGGGCAAGGTGTGTGTAATTTGCAGAATTATTTTCAGACAGCGTGCACAGTACGGAGAAGGAGGATAAGATGACAATTTGCTAATTTTCTTAAGATAATAATAAATAACGAGTCGGTGGCTGCAACTGTCGTTAGAGGTTTTTAATAATGATAAATAATCCGTCGCAGTTTGACTTCAATCCGTCAACGACAGTAGGTAATATAATAAGAAATGTATTTTGTATTTCTTCGTAAAAAATTGTACAATTACACAGTTATTTCTTGTTTTATATTGACACGTTCTCAAAACAATTAATTAGTGATAAATAATTAAAACGATAAATAATCAGACTAAATTCTAATTTATTCATTAATTTTTCAATTCATGCCGATAATAGACGATACTTGAGCTATTCGGAGAAAGGATTTTATTTTCATTGTTTTCACATCGCTACGGAAATGAAGGAAAATCGACAAACTTCAGAAGTCGTCATCACGCCTCCTTCTCCTTCGTATCTTTAAAATGACGAACTCAATGAGGAGGACAATGTGTTGGGGGTGGAGCACGAAATAACCGAGAAAAAATCATTCGCGACGAAGGCGTGATAATTAATTTTCGGCTGTACGATAACAAAGCGGAGTCGAGAACATCGGCGCGAGGATCGGCCATTGCCGAGCGTTCCACCGGCGGTGAAGTCCGGAAACACGATCTTCCCGGGTTCGAAGGTTACTTCTACCGTGACTCCGCGTAATGGACGCGCGGGAACGACAGGAAGTCAGGACAGCGATTTGATTTTATCTCGTTCGAGCTATCGCCCGAACAAGTTACTCCGCGGTAACATCGCGCCGTGTATGATTTGCCCAGCTGAGTTTTACGGGGAATGACGCGACGTGCACCACTCGAAACTCTCGGTCGGCGCAGTTGCACGTTGCAATTTGAGAAGGTTGTCACGAAGCGTTCGCATTGCCGTCGTCCCCGCTCTGCCGTCTCGCTCCCTCTCTCTCTCCTTCTCATCTTCTCCCACGGACGCGAACGTACGCGGAGGATATCTCGCCGAGTTCCGCCTGTCGATTGCGCCGCGACGGCGAAATCGAGAGAACAACGACGACGACGACGGTCATAGCCGCGGAAGTGCTAGAGAATGGCACGGAGGCAGAAATTTACGCGCCCGCTTCGACCGTAGCCTGTCGCGCTGATGACAATTTAGGATAGATCGGAACGCTGTGTGCCCGCACACACACACAAGCCCGCCATTGTACCTCCGCCTTAGACACTGCTCCACTGTACACCGTGGTGAGCCCGGAGGCATGATTACTGTATATGCGAGGGCGACGAGAGTGCCACGGAAGCCGCGTGAGAAACGCCGTACATACGTGACGCCAACCACCCACGTGTCATAAGCGAATGCCGTTCGCGATACACGGCGTAACTGGGTTATGTTTAGTTGGCTGAGATCGCACTTATGCTTATCTTTTCAGCTACCGATCCCCCCGCTGCAAACGCGGCTATCACTCCGGAATGCGAACGCACTTCGTTGCAGCGGAAATCTCAGTCGACATAATGACGACGGTCTCACGATATGCAGTAAAATAACGTCACGGTCATTTAATAACTTAGAGCTAACTTAAGTAACTCAGCTTGTTGTGTTCAGTTCAGCGCGATAAAACGATACACGATGTGATTAAGAGATATATAAATATCGTTTCTTAAGATTTCCATTTGATAAAGTAAATTGTAGACTTTGAGAGTATTATTGATTAAAATTGGCTCTAAAAAAATTTGCATTCCGTCTTCTGAAGAAGCAATGATATAATCGTGTAATGAAAAATCCCCATCGGACATGATTCTATTAATTAATATGTATTTTTGTGCTTTCGTGTACTTTCAATTGTCGTCGTCTATAATTATATTCCCCACTCTGTAACACGTGACTGTCGCTCTTCCCTCACGTTTACAATTGTACTTAACGTTATTAAGTACATCTCGCTTTTACTTTTCTCCACGCTTTTACTCTTCACCTACTTTCAATCGTACACGTTAATGTATGTATATTGTTAATATTAATGTTCTCACATCGCGACGTTACTATTGTCGGCGGAGTGTTAACACAGAAGGATTAATTGCGATTACGTTTGAATCGCATCGCGGAGTTTCGTGTCGGACGTGCTCACGAAAAATCATTACCGGCTAATACGTTCTTGAATTCGGCGCACACCGCAGTGAACGATTACTCTTATGGGAATTATCGGTGGTGTCAAGAACACGCCGGTGGTTACCGCGATTTAAGCACTTCGCCTTAACCTTAACCCATCGGCTGAATGGCAAACATCGCGAGAAGCGACACGACGATTTAAGCAGCCTCGTTTCCCCGTGGTCGTTCGTTGCGCCTCTGACTCGTCGAGTCTGCACGTGTACGCTGATTTACAAAAGTATATTGCTACACAACGGAGTGACACGTTTCACTTCGCTCGCGCGCGCGCGCGACGGTGAAGGAGAAACCGACGCACGTGGGAGATCCTGTCGCGCGTGTGGACTACCGGCGACGCGGCGACTGACTCATGTGCGCGCATACGAAATTCCTCGGCGGCAACGATAATATTTGTTTAGGAAATTTCCCCTTCGTAAATACGGTCGATAAGCACTCGAAAACGTGCCATGCGCCGTCTGGCTAATGCGCGAGGCGAACAATGGCTATTTTTGGGCAACGCTCCCGGTCCCTACGTTAATTCCGGTGCAGCCATGTTGACAGTCGTTTCAACAGAAACGGGAGAAAGTTCCTTAAATTGTCACACCAATTGTTTTGATTTTAATTTTAATCCTAATTCATATTTTTAACACGAGTATTTATTTATTTTACGTATTTATTTATTGATTTGACGCATTAGTTAGTCATCGGGGAAGAGATATAACGTTAAGATACGCGCCGGTTTTTCATCTTGACATAACTCACGGCAGCGATAATGAGCGATTAAACGATCGATAGTTTAATTTCATTTTTTCACACATTTAACGTTCAACGTACATTTGCTCATTTTTCAGCACCGACCATACGAAGGACGGCTTCACCGTCTTCGTACGCGGCGATTCCAAGGAGGGCCTGGACTTCGTGGACAACGTGTTGCTTCTGCTGCAGGTAAGAGACGGTTTCGCCGTGCTAAGGTGAGTGCTTGCTCCCACGATCGCTACCACAGCAATCACGCGTGATTGTCGCTTTTGCAGGACAGGATCAATGTCACCCAGACTCTAGTGTTTCGGGCAGCCACAGCAACGGACGGCCCGACGGTCGAGTCTTTCTTACCTCTCAGTAGCGTCCAGGTGAGTTGAGTTCCCGATGGCGACGAACAATTAAATCCCCGAACGGCATTGAGCGCGCGCCTTCCCGCGGGCAAGAAAGTAGCCGAAAGAGATTGCCCGTTTCTCTCTCTCTCTCTTTCCCTCTCTTTTTCTCGGCAATCATTGTGCGCGGTCGATCCAAATTCCACGCTGCATTATGTTCGGCTGCTTAAAACGCGCGCACGTGCGTCTCGTACCGGCGTGTATTTCGTCCGGTAATTGTCCGCTACGTACGTTATTGCCGCGCCATTGTGCCACGGGCCACTTTTGTCGTCGCGCCGGGGCGCTCGTATGTTTGTTCACGGCTAAACGTAATTTACGGCCGCGTAAGTACGATCATTGAACGACTTCGCGACGACGACGATGTATAATTAGCCCCATAAACGCTTCCTTTCAGACCGTCGTCGTGAATGACGCCACTCTCGCCAAGTATATTCCCAGGCGGGAAGAAAATCACGACCAGATGCAATGGATCGCTTTTTATAAGGTAATTATGCCCTCACGGTGAATACCTATACTTGTCGGTGTCGCGCGAGGCTTCATACTGAAATAACGCGTCTCACGAAGACCCCCGGCGGTATACACTTTGTAACTATAAATCAGCGGTATTCGAGCTTCGTGATTAGGAAAACGGGCGTGATAATTGCGTCAATTAGCGATTATCGGCCCGATGATTGTTAATTAAATGAATATCCGCGGCCAATCTACATTCATATTAACCTTTCCGCGCGAAATCTCTTTAATAAGCTGTAATTATTCCCACGGCTCGCACATCTCCCGTGAATGCTCCGCGAGATATTCGCTGATTTTTATCTCAACCGTAATGGGCATAATTCGTTATATAAATGAGAAAGGATCGAGTTACATCGTGTTGCGCAACGAAGACTAATGATCGCTTAGTCACAACTATCGCGCGCCGGTGAACAGCCGCGAACAATATATCTTTCGAGGCGAACCTCGCGACAAATTGTTATCGCGGCTTGTCGTTCAACGTCAAGCGGCGAATGGCTGTTTCGTTCGGCTCGCCTCAACGTCACGACGGATGATTCGGCGTGTGTGACGAAATAAATACAGGTTGGAAATCGCTCGTGCGAAATAATTGTGTCGTTCTGGCCATTCTGACGGCCTTTCGCGCCCGATCGTCGGGGAATTTATCGTCCGACCGTGGCAATGATCGACGTTTGCAATTTGTCTCAGTACTTCACGATCGATGAAGGATGTCGTTACGATCGTTTTTGCTTGCTTTCTTCCAGCACGATTTTTCCTCGCGCAAAAGAATCGATTCACATTGAATTTCTCTCTCGGATTTCACACGGATATATATTCAGATCGAATGTGAAACACATTTTATCGCCGAGAATTTTTATTTCATATCCTGATTATATTAAAGTATTTTCAATGACGCATCAAGGAGGCTTCTCGTAAATTTTCCGTTTATCAAGCACAATTTCTCTTTTCATATTTATTTCACTAGCCGAATAACAAATCACTGTATATTCTTCAAACGAAACGGTCAATAATTTTGAAATATGTTACAAGCTCGATTAACTTTTGTATCACGTATGTATTACAGATTTATCTTACATTTGGTTGAACGTTCGAACCTCCTTAAATTGCATAACTGAGTGATCAATCAGTGAACTCTCGCTTTCTCGCCACAAAGATACGCGTGTTATCGTAGGTCGTTAAATGAACACGGGAAATGCGACATCGAGAAGTCGATATCAATCGCTGTGCCGGCGCGAGTTGATCTAACGCGATTGGTATTCGGCGCGAGCCGATTCGCGAGCGAACGGACAATCGCAGCCGAGAAATGGTCGAGATAACAGTTCGGCGTATCTGTCCCGCGTGTAATGGATATGCGTCAGCCGTTACGTACCTCTTTAAGCAATGTGCTCCCCGTACGTTTCACATCGGCCGATCGATTACGGCTCGTCGAGCCGTGCAACCGCCGCGCGTGTCCACTTTTACTACACGTCGCTGACATTCCCCCCGGGCCACCGATTGCTGATCCAAGGACATTTGTTCGCGGTGATCACGGGAGAACCGCCGGGAGAGGAGAGACAGCGCATCGACCCGCCGGCGTGATTGGTATTTTGATTTCCCGCAGGAGTACGACGGCCTCATGACGGAGTGGCAATCAGCCGGTCGCAGATTGGCCCTCGAAATGTCGGAGCTGAAGGAATGCACGAGCCTGTCCGGCACTTTGACGCCTCTCGGTCGGCTCCTCACGGACCCCACATTGAGAAGAACGTCTAGAGATGCCGAAGAGGCCATCACCGCGCTCGAGGAACGCGCGGCCCCGCTTCTGCACGTCGAGCACGTTAGGTAGGAGAATTTTATATCCATAATGAGCGAGCGCGCGCCTACGAGAATCGCCATTCCTGTGACGTGCGACAGAGGGACATATTTTCCGCATTACGTCTCCCGTCGCGAGATTTCTTCGTCGCTCGAGGAAGCGGACAATTGAAAAAATAATATCTGAATTATTCTAATTTATTCCTCGCGACATGGGGGGGGGGTATCCCTTTTTCTCCGTATCGGTGTATTGGTAATATTATTAAAATATTCATAGTCGGTAGCGAGCTCTATATTGCTCCACTTGCAGCGGCGCTGATCCAATCACAGTTACGCGTATCCATTTATCCGCGGGATAACTTCTGCCGCGGCGCATTAAACGCGTTGATCGCGAGCGCATTAATTCGCGAAATTGACGGTTGTCGGCTTGATATATGCCGAACTAACGCGCTCGGCTTGCGCGCATACTTATGAGGTGTATCGGCCGAGGACACTTGAACGCACAGATAGGGAAACCTCGCCGCCGAGGCGCGCGCATTCGATTTCGCGCGGGATCTTCTCTCTCTCTCTCTCTCTCTCTCGTGAGTCAGAGTTCGATCTTTTCATATGCGAGATTGCCGAGACGGCTGCGCGAATTCCTAACGGTGCGGTCACGATCGCGGTTCCTTTTTATCTTTCCAGATTGTCGGTGAAACGAGCCCGGAGACTGGTGGAGGAGGTGGGTAAGGCCGCCACCAGGCTGGAGTCATCGTTCGAGTCGCGACGCGCGACTATCCGCAATCTCGCTGTTCTACGGAGCATCGAGGATCAGGCGCACGAGGTAAGTCCTGCGCAAATTAATACGCCTGTGAGCTGTCTCGAGGGCCCTCGTACGTCTTTCTCTCTCTCTCTCTCTCTCTCTCTACGCCCTGTGCAAACTCACCGGCCGGGCTAATTCACGCCAAAACCACGTCATCTTATCCGGCTCGACGCTTACTCCTCGTGTTAACATCATTATGACAAAAGCCAAATAAAACGACACGGTCATGTTGTGCAGGGGGAAGGGGGGAAATGATGTAGCGGGAAAAACGACGATTTGCTAATTTTTCCAAGTTAATAGCAAACAACGCGTCGGTGCTCATAACTCGTTAGGGGCTTCCGACCATGATGAATAATCTATCATAGTTTGACTTCAATCTGTCAACGACAGTAGATGATATAATATAAAGAAGGTTTTTTCGATATACCTATATGTAATTTTGTGGTATTTCTTCATAAGGAATTGTACCATTATAGTAATATATCTATACCTGACACTGTCCTCAGTGACGAATGGAAAATTCGAATTCTGTAGTTCCGACATGCACACAATAGCGGGGTATTTATCGCTCTACGAAGAAGTCGATTCGAATAACGAAGCATAGATTGGGGCATCGAGACTGCGAATGTTGGCCAATTGTTAGAATCGCGTCAGAGAGTCCGGGATCGGCGCGTCGTCGTGTGTGGACGTTGCTTAAGGGTTGACGACGGCCACCGTGGCCTTGAACCAGAAGAAGAAGAAGAAGAACGTCGGTGTACCGCGACGTGGCTTGTTATTCCGCGCGTGCATGAAAGCCCGCGCCGTACACGGCCGTTCCTCGCTCTCCTCGACGATTACGCCGAAGTTATTGCGCGCGGTGCTTACGCTGTCTCGCATATTCGCGGGCCATCTTCCTCCCTTCTGAACCACGTATGGCGGCTGCTCCTTGGAGCGCGACTCGGACATCGGATTCGAGCGGTCAGCCTCCCTCGTCGGTCGATAAAGGCGAACGTACAAAGGGCTCCCTGTCCTCGCACGTGAGGCTTCCATAAGCGAGCTTTCGCTTCGAAAATCGCCGCGTACCTGGCCGTCGAACGTTGGCCTCTCTCGAGTCGACGTTTGATCTCGCATCGATCTTTCGCGAGCTGATAGAACGCGACGACGCCTTCGATACCCGCTGGTTTGTTATTCCTTGGTCCTTCGTAAATACGACGAGGCTTTTGTCAGAAGCGTCGAAAGGACCTACGCTCTCCTTTTTGTGTGCCGGGAAAGACTCCTTTTTTGTCGGATATTTTTATTTGTAGTTGGACAGTACCCCTGTGAGTGAATATATTTATCTGCAATATTTTCGCACTCTTTGANATATATATATATATAATAATTTTACTCGAAGGACGGATTTATCTTCGTACAACTCGACATTGATGTCAATATTTGCCCGATATTCGTCGATTTATTTTCGAGACACGAAACTCGGCTGTTTTCAGAAGTAATTTCGAGACGGGCTTATTTGCGAAAGTATTTAACTTCGTGAATTAAGTGCCCCCGATGCTTTCTCCGGCAATCTCGGCCGGTCGAGTGATTGTTCGGTCGCCGATTTCGAGAGAGGTGCCTAAAGCAAACACGTGTTAACGCGTTTTCCCTGTATTAGAGACGCCACGCGAGATCGGCGCGCGCAATCATCCGCTGCCTCCCCGACGTATTACACTCGCTATTTTCATAATGACGACGGTGGACGTGGCTGGCGCGTGTTACCAACGCGTCCGAATATAATCGATAATACGACGGGATCGCGCGAGCCACGTCCACCGTCGT